GTATCTGGGGCATTTTAAGAAAGCTACAGATAAACATTTCATCTACAATGTAGAACTTGTTTAATAAACACTCTTATTTCCAAGAGCCATTCACAAACAGTACTTACTTTTATTCCTAGGATTCAGCGAAAGTGGAGATCCATCCTGCACCATCATGCAGAACTGGGCGAGGGTTGAGGTGAGGTTTCTATCTGCTGTATTTAAATTGCTGGAGTAGAGGAAACTGGTGTGTTTAACGTTGCCTCCACAGAACGCAATCCTCTTGTGCTTTGGCGTTTTGTCTGGGTACCTTTAATGGGTAAATCCTTCTTTGTCCGCTCCTGTGCCTGGACTGGTCAAGCACGTGGTGTAGCGTCAGCCTTGAAGCACAACCTCCCAGGGAAGAAACAGCATTCCCTTTGGGAAAGTCGTAGTTTATACTGCTGGGGCTGCAGTGTGGCACAGACATGTGTGAGCAGCTCGGTTAGCAGCTAGCCACAGTGGCTGGGAACTGAACCCAGAGTCTTTAAGCTGCCTTGATTCCTGTCTAATTCAGTGCTGCCTACACCGACCAGCGTCAGAGGAGTGCAGGTGTCGGTGTGCTGGTGCAGTCGCTGCCTGCAAGGGGATGTTTCATTTTCCTCCCTTTGCCGTAGGCCCGTACAAATCGGGATGAGTTGTGTTACGCTTGTGCTCTAATTTCTCTGGGCGTAATGCATGGGATGGATTGCCAACATCTTGTAATCCTCCTGAATAACGTGGGCCTGAATCTGCAGGAATTACTTTCCCTTTCTGTCCAGTTAGTGGAGGGAGAAGGCAGGCACTTCCAGGTGTGATTCAGCTTGAGCTAAAGCAGTTCTAACAAGTCAGCTGTCCGGCGTATGCCTGTTAGAGCAGGTGAATCCCACTTGGGTGTCTTAATCCATTTGCCCTCTTCTCCCTGCTCCATTTCCTAAGCTCTTCTCTTGGGTGGAGGACTGGGTTTGCCTTTAAGCGCTCTATTAGGTACGCTCATGAATAATGACAAGAGGAAAAATTGAGAAGCAACTATCTAATATTTTTTTTATAATGACCAAAATAAAATGAGTATGGGAGCCAGAAACCAGGACTGAGGTAACAGGTGGGCAGGGAAGCGTTACGCAGTAGCAGGAGTGCATTAGGTGTCCACTTTGGTCTCTCGGAGGAGCAGATGGGTCCTCCAGGGTCTGCGTGCATCATCTGTGGTGGTTCCTTGCGCTGGGGGAAGGCAGGTGGGTAATGGTGTGGAACAAATAACCCTAAATGACACAGGGCTTTGGGTGCTGTGTTTCAGGCCCGCTTGTGTAACAACATGCAGAAAGCCAGAGAACTCTGGGACAACATCATGACTAAAGGAAACGCCAAATACGCCAACATGTGGCTGGAGTATTATAACCTGGAAAGGTGAGAGCTTGGCTGGTTGGAAGAGTTAATTAACTCTTTGTTCTCCTCATCTGTGCGGGGCAAGATTTAGATGCTCAGCGTGGGTGTGGGTTTGAGGTTCTTAGGACATACATATATTTCAAAAGTATCACAGCAACAACATGTAATGTGAGTTCTCGGGGGGAAGGGGGGAGAACCCTTGCATAGAACACAGCTGACTGTGCTGTCTCGCCCTGGTGGGAGGCTTGGCTCCTCACTGCCCCCGTTTGCCTCCCGCAGAGCTCACGGTGACACGCAGCACTGCAGGAAGGCCTTGCACCGCGCTGTGCAGTGCACCAGCGACTACCCCGAGCACGTCTGCGAGGTGCTGCTCACGCTGGAGAGGATAGAAGGTAACTACCTGCACCTCGTCTCGTTTCACCCTGTCTGGTTAGTGTTCAACGATACAGAGTGAATTTTGTTTCTGCTTGGTGTTCTGGTGAAGGCTTACTTTCTTGTCGCTACTGTAGTATACACAAACAGCTCTTTTTTTAATTCTTTTCTGGCCCAACTTGGGGCCTGCTGAAATTACTGGGTTTTCCTGTGGCTTTTTGGAGTGTTGTATTTTAAATGAGAGGTTTTTGTTTTCTTTTTCTTTGAAGCCTGTGCATTATAGTTAGAATTTTCATGTGTAATGGTTCATATGAAGAGAAAGTGCCATGAGCACACTGACTTATTTTTCCAGAATTGTATTTTAAAATTATGGGAAATAATAGTATAATAATAAACACGAGGCTTTCCTTTTTTTTGTCCTTTAGGAACATTGGAAGACTGGGATGCAGCAGTTCAAAAAACAGAGAACAGATTAGCTCGAGTTAATGAACAAAGAGCAAAGGTCAGAACTTTCTGTGAACTACCCAGGCAGTTTATAGGAAGTGCCTATGTTAGAGCATGCTCGTCTGTCAGATTTCTAATGCTGCTTCCCCTAGATAAGCCTGAATTGTCTTAAACTGTTGATTTTTGTTTAAAACTGCAGTTAATCTCTTCTTCTGCTTTTTATCTTTTACCTTTTGACCCGTGGATGGATACAAGAGTAATGTGTATTCCAGGAAAGCTGTAAGAGCAAACAACTGAGATGTGCTTTAAATGATGATCCTGTTAGTGCTGTGTTTGATGTAGCTTAGGAGAAAACCCTCCAGGTTGAGTACTCAGAAAATGCTCTGCAATCTGCAGTCATCAGGGAAAAAAAAATAAATCTTGCATGTTTGTAGGCTGCTGAGAAAGAAGCTGCTCTGGCAAAGCAGGAGGAGGAGAAAGCTGAACAACGAAAGCAGGCTCGGGCAGAAAAGAAAGCTTCCAAAAAGGCTAAAAAAACCAGGGCTGGAGACAAGCGCAAAGCAGATGACGATGATGAGGGTGAATGGGGACAGGAAGAAGAAGGTAAAAAAAATAAATAAATTACTGAAACTTCAGGGTTCCCAGTTGTCTGCCTTCCGTTAGAAGCAGGTGAGGAAGTGCTGTTGCTGGTGTCTTCAGAGCTGCTGTCTGTTCAGGGACTCTTGCTCCTTGGAGATCTTTGTGGTAGTGAAATGAAGGCAGGACTAAATGGTTTTTAATCAATGGAAGTATATGTTTATAAGAACTTCTATAGGGTGATTTTTACGTTTTTCTTATTTCAGAGAAATGGTGATTTTATTTTCCTTCATGGCTTAAAAAAAACCCATGTAATTTTCCTGACTGATCACATGACACCGAGGCATGTGTCTGAATTGGGTTATTCAGCAGAATTGTAGCAGTCTCTTGGAAGGTGGTAACAAAGAGTTTAATAGATTGCTGCCCCTGGGAGTTTTGGGACCTTTAGATTTTTCTTTCTTGCTTCAAAAAAATCCCATTAGACAAAGAAAAAGAACATGAATCAGTAGTTGTAATGGACAGGAAAAAAAAAAAGGAAAAAATATTCTTGTTGCTTTCACCTAAATCCTTGCTGTCTTAGTCAAATAATCTGTTGTTACTCATTAAAAGCCTGAGGGAGGTTTTTATTTTGTGTGTTTAAGACCTGTGATCATAGCTGTGGTTTTACATAGTGGTAATGGAGGACAGCTTCCTTTCAATGGAGAATGAAAGGGTGTAATTTCTTGTAGTAAGGCTTTCAATGTCCTTCAGCAGCAGAGCAGCCCAGCAAGAGACACAAGGGAGATGGCGATGGCGTGCTTCTGGAAGAAGACATGGAGGTAGAAACGGGGCTGTTTGGAAGAAGTGGGCCTGAAAAGCCAGCTCTGCCAGCAAACCAGAAGGAAAAGGCATCTACCAGTCGACGAGACATCCCCAAAGTTTTACATGACAGCAGTAAAGACAGTGTTACCGTCTTTGTGAGCAACCTTTCCTACAGCATGGCAGATCCTGAAGGGAAACTGAAGGAGCTCTTTGAGAGCTGTGGGGAGGTGGTGGAAATCCGTCCGGTATTCAGCAACAAGGGGACTTTCCGGGGCTACTGCTACGTAGAATTCAAGGAAGAAAAATCCGCTCTCCAAGCTCTTGGCTTGGATCGTAAAGTTGTGGAGGGGAGACCAATGTTTGTTTCTCCATGTGTCGACAAGAACAAGAATCCAGACTTTAAGGTAAAACTATTCTTTCGAGTAATCAGTTGAACAGTGGGACTGCAGAGGAAAGCTGGCAGAGTGTGTTGGTTCCAGAGTGCTTGCGTGTCTAACGAATTCATCTTGTGCTGCTTTGGAATGGTAGCGTTGTGTCGTAGCAGTGAAACTGTTTTCTGGGAGTTCTTGCATCTTGTGTTACTTTGCCACGAGCCAGGGTTGACGTTGGCAGATTTTTCTGGATCTTGAGTCAGCTGATCAGAGCAGCTTGTTAATGCCGTGAGGTACCCGGGTTCCTCCTCGAGGGTCTCGGTCTGTAAAGTACCTTCATGGTCGAGTCGTACAGATGTGGGCACAACGTGACACAACCCAGGGGTTCCCGTTAACGGCCTGTACTAGGCATGGGTTGTACAACCAGTGCTTTTGTGCATTGTAGAGTGACTGCCCAGAAAAACTTAATGGTTCAGCTGGTGGCAGCTGAGCAGGAAGACATTGTCGCTGGCTGACCTCACTGAGAAGGAGATGTAGGTGTTCAGAAGCATCTCAGTTGTTAGAATGACTTGCAAGTCCTTAGTGTAGGCCTGTGTGTTTATACACAAGTACCTTTCAAGATATTACTCGTGACCTGAAGGTATTTCTGTGTCTCACAAACACAAGGCACTCTGACCTTCTGGGGGTGTAATAGATTGCAACCCTTGGGATCTGTGACTGGTTTGCAAACTAACAGCAGTTTCGTTTCTGCAGGTGTTCAGGTATAGCACTACTCTGGAGAAGCACAAACTGTTTATATCTGGTTTGCCGTTTTCCTGCACTAAGGAAGAGCTGGAAGATGTGTGTAAAGCACATGGCAATGTGAAAGACATTCGGCTGGTCACCAACCGAGCTGGAAAACCCAAGGTAGGTGTCCTTCATGCACTCTTAATTTTAAGCAATCCTTCAAAAAAGCAGCTCTTCATGAAGTTTGGATACAAACAGTTGGGTTTATATTTTAAAAGTTGCTGCCAACCTGGTTTTGCATTAAAACTTGTAGAAATGCTTGGATTTAGACAGCCCAGTGTGCCTTTCTTCAACAAATAAGAAGTAGAGAAGGGAAGAGGAATTTTTCCAAAACGCTTAAATTTGCACAAGAAGAATGTGTGAGATAAATGGGATGGAGGGGAATTTTTTGCAGCACTTCAGTATAGTAAAAAATAGGCATTAGTAGGTCTGCAAAGAATATTTGTTTTTAAAGTAACTGACTAGCTACGGTTCACCTGGTACAAGCGATTCCCCTCCTCCCTTTCTTCAGTTTTTTGATGCTGTTGTTCATAACACCTGCTGCAATAATAGATTTGCCAGTGAGAAATGAGACACCTTCTCTCTGACAGGGCTTGTTATTTCCCTCCTGGAAAAATGACTCCTTCTTAAATAAGAGACTCCCAACCAGCTGCTGCGCTGCCACAAGTCTGCCTGACAGCTCAGCCGTGTCTGCATGTTGGGCACTTCTAACAGGTGCCATCCTGCTGCTCATGTGCATGTATTTTTAAAACGTGTTTTCTAGCTCTTGGGGCCATCTCAAGTACAGTTCCTGCTGCAGGCGAGTGCTCTCGTGTACCCCGAGTCTTGCAACCCACATTCAGAGCTTTGTTTGAGCCAGGATTCTGTCTAAACCACAGATAAATGCACTTTGAATGTTTTAGAAAATCTGATGTATTTCCTGTGAAACTGTGTAATCCAAAAATACAAGTTGAGGCTTTGAATGTTATTTAAAAGAATAACAACAACAGAACTGAGCAGCAACACGTCCCAGCTAGTGTATGTGCCGCAGGAGCCCGGTGCAGCAGGTGCTGGGGGTGCCCTTTTGTCCGGGAGCTGGAAGTCAGACCCTGTTACTGCGACACGGATTCATTTCCCGCAAAGAATGAGTTGGTTGTCACCAGGCCCTGTTTTGGCGGCCGCAGTGCCGCTCTCTTTGGAGGTGGTGCCTGTCTGGAGCTGCTTAAGATGGGTGTTACTGCTCCTGAAACCAAGGGGGCTGTCAAGGCCCCGTGTCGGTGGACTTGGCTCTTTAGGTATGAATTGGAGCCTAGTGAAGAATCACAGGAGGGGTTGTGTGATCTTTCTGTTCTGGCTCTATGGATTGATTTATCTTTTCTTCCACTAGGAATCCAGATTTGGCCTGGAGATTTATATATAATACACGTTTAAAAGTGAAGACTTGCCACTGACGCAGTACTTCATTATATTTACTTTACTGGGATCTTGGTGTTTTTCTTTTCTTTTTTTAATACCTCTTCCAGAAATTAGGACATCATGAATGAGAGTCGAGAAATGCAGGTTGTAGAGTTGCATAGATAAGAATTGTTGTTTCTAGAGAACACGGAGACTTTCAGCCCTGTTCAGGTCTGCTTTCTGTACGATTTTCTTAGCAGTTGGCCAAATTATTCACAAAAGCTGTCGTGCAGAGAAAGCAGCACTACAGCTGATGTCAGTTACCTCCTTTACTTAGGGCCTGGCCTATGTGGAGTATGAAAATGAAGCTCAGGCCTCGCAGGCTGTGCTGAAGATGGATGGCCTGACCGTTAAGGAACACGTCATCAAGGTGGCCATCAGTAACCCCCCTCTCCGCAAGCTGCCGGACAAGCCCGAGGCAGGCAGAGCCTCGCAGTTTGCAGTCCCTCGACAGATTTATGGAGCGTAAGTACTAGGGAGGGAGGCTGCTGGGCGATGCTTCAAACAGAAACACTGCGTTTCTTTTAGGCTAAAATGCAGGAATCTCATCTAGAGTATGAGACAACATTTAAAAGGTGCCAAACCATGAAAAATTGGGTTGCTGGACTGAGGAGGAAAAGCAGATTTTTTTCTCCTTTATCAGTAGAAACAGGTCTGTAGTGACTGAGAGTATTGGACATCGCCTTGGATCGGATGGTAGCACTTAAGTGCAAATAACTTCCACATCCCCTTGATCTGGAGAACCAGCTGTTGTTCACAGCGAGCATTAAGGCTGCTTTTTCATCTTTCAGAGTGTTCCTGCTGCTTGGCGGTGGGTTGGTGTGGTGTTGTACGTGCCCCGTAGATAAACACGGGGCCTCAGTTTCTGGGGCCTGATGGGCAATTGTTTTCTGCCAGGACCTCAGTGTACCATTTCAGAGGATGCCCAGGGGAAGCTTTGTGCTGCTTCTCAGTGACACAACTGACAGGAACAATACTTAAATGAGTGTTCCTCGTAGCAAACAAAGTGCTTTTCGTTTCCCCAAGCTAAAACAGTATCTTCAAAGAGCACTGGGATGTTTTTAAATGTCACTTTTTGTTCTCCAGGCGAGGGAAGGGAAGGACACAGCTTTCAATGATGCCTCGTGCGTTACAGCGCCAGAGTAATCCTGGGGCTAAGGCTGAGAATGGGATGGTCCAGAACTCACCAGCAACTTCATCCGGAGCCCCCGAGGAGCCTAAAAAGATGTCCAATGCTGATTTTGCCAAGATGCTACTGAAAAAGTGAGCAAAAAAAGTCTGCAATCAGCGGGTCTGGTAAAATGTGAAATGCCTTTCTGGAAGCCATGTTGTGTCCTTATGCTAGCAAGGAGAGAACGCCAGTCACAATCACGTGTAAATACCGCTCTGGACTGCTGCCTTCATCGAGATCAGTGTAGGATGGTACAAATCCTGTTTTTTTCCTCTGTTTCCAAGAGCAAAGAGTTGTACTCTGTTCTGGTAAAATGGCGTTATATGATCCCTCATATTGAGGGTAACGAGGGGGGAAAGGCCTCCCGCAGAGCTTGGATGCCGCATCAAGTTTGACGAATCCTTGACAACTATTTCTCTTTCATTCACGACTGAGATGCCGTGTGACAGCCCAGCGCTGACCTCCTCGAGCTCCCCTGGTCAGTTCAGATTGTGATCGCAGACATTCTCTCTGACAACGAACCCATTTGAAGCACCCAACCCCCCCCCACGGGGACGTTCATCTCCCTCCATTCAGAGTTCCATGGCAGACGCTAGTAACTTCACCACAATGGCCTATTTTAGTATTGGGAGAGTTTCTATACATACCTGTGTATATGTATATACACAAGTACACGTATATATGTACTCAGTTAACGTTCTGTTCGAGCTGACCTGTTTTTTATATTGTGTATTTGTAAGAGACATTCAAGTTGTTATTTTTAAGTGTTATAATACCTAGACCTGGTAATTTTTGTTTCCCATAAAAGCTGTACATGGTGTTGCTGAGGACCATTTTTTCTTTTTTTTGGTTGTTTTTGCTAGCTCTAGCTCGTAACGTCTTTTGCAGGTGGTTTCTGTATGGTTTTGTACAAATGTGAAGTGCAAGCTGATGTTCCTTGGTTTATTAAACTCAAGTTCTCAAAGGTTTTCTATAAATCCTGTTGCTTTTTGTTTAAATGTGGGTGTTGGAATTGCGCTTATCCTATGGCAGCTGGGTGATACTGATGGACCTCACCTCTTGGGTGTGCTGAGAGCCATGGTGTCACTTCCATACATTCAAGTAGCTCATTCTGCCTAGTATGAATATCCTGAGGTCATCACCTTAGACTTCAAAATAATCTGGTAGTGATCTTGGGTAGAAATATTACTGCTTGTCGACTAAAGCTGCTGCTAACTCTGGAAGCCAACATCTGTGGGGGCTGAATGTGAGGGGGGACCCCAGTACCAAGTTCACTTGTACAACACAAGCACTGCTGCAAATAACCTCTGCTGTCGGTGCTTGCATCCCGGGCTTGGCTTGGAAAGGAGGAGTCAGCTTCACAGCGCTGAACTCCGTCACACCGGCACTGGTGGCGACGCTCCAAGGGACCGCATTCTTAGCGACCGCTTCTTAGTTTGCTGCACCAAAGTGTTTTGAGAACAGCCTATTCCAAAGAGAGACTTTAATATTAAAATATTTTATTAATCTGTTACTAAAATAACATATATATTTTTTTTCCCCAGAGCTCTAAAGTGCAGAATTCATTTCTCCTCCCCTTGCACTACCCAAACGAGCATGCTTTGGAAGGACAGACCAGCCTTCCTCGCTTAACGTTTGCTTTCCCTGTCAGCAGCAGGCAGTCCATACCCCTGGAGTGGTGCTGCCCTACACAGATAACTCCCACTCTTGTCCTCTTGGCTGCTTGTACAAAACGCGTCCTGGCTGCCGTGCAGGTAAGAGTTAAAGGGAAGAAACTGAACTGGCCTGGGACAGTCTGACAGCTTGTGCTGCCTGCAGAGGGTTTAAGCTCAACAGTGCTCTAGACTGGATTGAATCGCGGTTTTCTGAACTTGGAGGTGTTGGGATCGACTGTGTTGTTAGCCAAGGGGCAGGTGGGGGTGTAGGGAGCTGCTCTGTTAGGCTGCAGGTGCTTGTACCTTAAAAGCAAAGACAAAGTGTGCTGCTCTGAACTGCACAGCAGGTACCACGCGAACTGCTGCTGCAGCACCAAGAGGCCTCGTGTGATTCTTGACGCATTTACCACAGTAATAGTGTGACTTAGTAATGAATTGTGATGAGTTCTCTGGTGCAGATTGAAGAAACTGAAGTTTTTGGCAAACTCGCCGTACACATTCTTCCCAACTGAACACGGCTGATAAAGGCTGTCTCGCAGTCAGGTGTAATAACTGTTTCTGCCCCCAGCTTTGCAGAAGCCAGCTCTCTTCAAACCCTGAACTGTGTAAGGACAGTTGTGGTTTCCTAGGGAACCTGCCCTTTCCCAGGGCCTTCTGGCTGAAGTAGAGCACGAGCACCTCCCAGCTCAGCGAAACGAGTCAGTATTTCTTCTCTTTTTCCACTCGCATCATCTGTAACCTTAACCCAACTCCTTCCCCCTTGTTACACAAAACTCACCCTAGGAAAGGCAACTGAAAGTAAACATGCCAAGTGCTACTGGAAACAGAAAGGGGAGGGAAGAGGTGCCTTTGCTGGACTGGAGTTTAGCTTCCTTCCTGAGCAGTACTGTCAAACGTGTGACTGACAGGAAAGAGTCTGATAACGCAGCTGAGAGCACCGTTACTGTGAGGGTTGGGGTTTGGGGGTTGTTTTTGGAACAACAGGGCAGAGGTAACACAAAAGTAACAACTCAGTTAAGGTGCTGTCTTGCCTAGCAGCTCCTTGACAAGGCGAGACTTGCTAGGTGAAGGGTTGTGATTGAAGCAGCTGCTCAAAGCTTAATTTTAAGGAGAAATTAAGATCTTGTATGAGCCCATCTGACGCCTCCCCACCTCCTTCCAGTAGCACAAGCAAGTTACAATGCACAGGCAACATCGACAGTTCACATTTCAGCTGGGCATCACGTATATAAATAAATTATATTAATTTAATCAAATGTAAGACACTTTAAATAAATGAAATGCTAGAGAGAGTGACACCTCCTCTCGAGTTATTTCCCAG